GGGCGTTTAAGGGCGAACCAGCCCGCGCGTGGCAGAAGAAAAGAAGATCAGCCGCGCGCGCAGGTTAACGGTTTAGAAGCCAGCATTCCAGTATGTGAGAGGGGTTCCCGGATTGGAAGAGGGTGCGGGTGAGCTGAGGAGAACCACCCCCCCATGCACAAATTTTGTGCCCGGGCGTCTAGTCTATAATAATAAAAGCATAATATGCTAATTAGACCTGTGGTCCTGCTAGACATCCTTCCAGACAACCTTCTGGACGAAGCCAGGTCTATGAGGGAAGCCAGGGTCCCAGGTGCCTGCTGGTGGCCGGAGGGAAGCCAGGTCCCGGATGCCAGAGGAAGCTGGTGCCAGCAGCTGGGGGAAGGCCTACTCTTGCACGAATTTTGTACATCGGGCCTCTAGTATTCTAATAACTATGTATGGTACTAGGTAAATACTAGACTTACCAAGGGGAACACTTTGTTAAATATATGATTGTCGAATCACTATGCTGTACACCTGAAACTAATACAAAATAATATTGAATGTAAACTATAATTGAATAAAACAGAATAAGATTTTTCTGAAGGCTAAATAAAACTGGTGTGTATCATGAGTTTCAGAGGATTCTTGAGCAGGGCTTGGCTCAGTGAATAGAGCATCAAGCCTGCAGACTGAAGGGTCCTAGGTTCAATTCCATTCAAGAGCACATGCACAGATTGCAGGCTGGATCCCCAGTAGGGAGTGTGGGGAGGCAGACGATCAATGATTCTCTCTCACCATTATTGTTTCTATCTCTCTCTCTCTCTCTCTCTCCATTCCTCTCTGAAATCAATAAAAATACATTTTTTTAAAAAAGAGTTTCAGAGGATGTTCCTCTTGGAGCCATCATTCTTCCATCTCTTCTTGGCCCATAGAATGTTCCCAACAACAGGCCAGGGACATAGAGAAATGAAGGAAGTGAAGGGTCATTAACCACACTAGTGTCCTTGAGAGCAGTTTTGATGTCATTTATCTCCACCTTCCAAGAATACTGGGATGGCTTTGCATAGACAAGTGAAAAATATTGTCCATTAAGTCTATGAAGATACTGGAAAACGTTACTGAGAAAGATTTGTGTTAAGCATTACTTTAACTCAAGCTAATGTTCTCTCCTGGCAAGAATGGCAACTATGAGGTGATATGAGGTTAGGAGAGTTGGATCTATAGTTGGATGGAACTGAGCTCTGTTCTATGTATGTACAAATTAGATTATAGACCCTCAACAAAAGTTTTACCAGATGGATAACAAGAGTCAAGCAAGTAGTTGCCCCCAACTCTGGAATGAACCTGTGTTCTTGGCTGGATTGTGACCACTTATTAAACTCTAAAGAGTTTGGATCAGAAGCTGTGACACTCCCTGTTATACATTTCTGAGGGAGCTGAAAACCTGGGCAGGCACTAGAAAGAAACTGTACTGACTTTCTCCCAGAGTGCCCCTATGGTATCTCCCCTTTCACAAATGAAGCAACCTTAAACCAAGTTATACAGAGTATTTGATTCATGTCTCCTTTTCTTCCCTATCACCCTGTTTCTTCCTTTGTGGCAGTCACATGAATGCCTTGGCCTTTACCAAGCCAGTAGAGAAAGACTCTCCCACTTCCCCAAAACTGCACAAGGTGGTGGTGGCCAGCTGAATCTCCCATTAATAAGGTCCTATATAATGGGGGAGAAATTAGCATGATGAGAGGAAAAGTGTTGCTTTTACCTACTCTGCTCCCTTCTCTGCCTACTCCTGTGCCTGAGAGAGGTTCCCCAAATTTGAGTGACAGAGCAACTGACCATAGGCTCATGTTCCCATGTATTGTCTCATTCTGTACCTAACTCTTGTATTTGTCAATAAAAGAAAAGTCTGTGGCTGCTTATTCCTTTGTAGTACACCCTTATGAATATTCTATTACTAAAGATATATAATGACCTTACAGGAAATTTGGAAATTTGAAAATTTGAAAATTGATTCTATATTTAATTATATTAAGAAAATATTAAAATTCTATTTAGGAGTGGGAATGGTATTGTGATAATATTAGGATATATATATATATATATATATATATATAATAAAATATTTAGAGATTGAATTATACAATGTCTGGGATTGGCTTCAAAATAACATTGGGGGAGGAGGGTACAGCAGGTAGGGGTGTGGGTAAAACAGAATTGTCCTTGAGTTGATCATTATTGAAGCTGGGTAATGGTTTTATTGTGCTAGGTTTTATTTTGTTTTGCCATATATTACACTTTTTCTATAATAAAAAGCTTTTCAGAAAAGAATAAAAATTGGTTAAAGTTACTTTAAATTCACATTAGAAAATCATATTCTGAAAAAATACTTTAAAAATGTTAAATGGAATAAGATCCAAAGTTATACATAAGATACTGCATGTACATATATATTTACATATGCACATAAATAGAAAAAGATACAAAATCTGTATCCCTTCCTGGCAAGAATACATATTATTTTTCATTATTCATTGCTGCCTTTCTTTATTTTTAAAATTTTCTTAAAAGAAAATATGTTTATAGTTTTATAAAGTGTGTGCATGGTGTGTGTGTGTGTGTGTAAAATAAACAACATCGTGGTGAAAAAAAAGGACTTGATGTGATACCGCCATTTCCTCCACCTTCAGTCTCTGAGTCTTTTGCAGAGCTCCCCGACAACATTCTACTGGGACAGAGCATTCGGCAGTTAAGGTTATAATCACTACATATTTTGAATCTGGATTTGCTGCACCTTTCTTTATAGTAAGACACTAACTACTTAAGAAATAAAGTGTTTTAGTTGATCCATAAAACAGATATAAAGAGGAGCAGTTTAAGAGGTGCAGTCTCTTTGAAAAATGGATCAGACTGTTGAACTCAACATACTTGATGTGCTTGTAAATAAACCTATGGCATGAAAAATCTATACATATAAAAACCTAAGTGACCAGAATGCCAGAATGACTGAAACAGCCAGTCGCTATGACATGCACTGACACCAGGGGCAGACGTTCAATGCAGGAGCTGCCCCCTGGTGGTCAGTGCGCTCCCACAGTCAACCTCCCTGGTCCCTTCCCCCGGAAGGCCCTGATCAGCCCTGATCACCAGCCAGGCCTAGGGACCCCACCCATGCATGAATTTTGTGCACTGGGCCTCCACTAAATAAATAAAATAAACAACATCATATTGTTAATGGTGATTATCTCTGGGTGGTGGTGTTATTGGTCATTTTATTTTTGTTTCTTTTTCTCTGTGTATTTTCTTCAATTAATAAGTATAATATGATCAGAAAAAAATATAGCATGAAATATTAAAGCTTGACTTATTGTTCTTTATAGGTAAAGGATTATATAGGGCAACATAACATCTATACTAATAAGAGGGTAATATGCTAATTAGACCAGATAGACCAGCCGTCTTCCAGCCGGCAGTGGCAGCAGCAGCAGGGTGATAGTCCTGGTCGCCTCCCACAGAGGTGGCGGGAGAGGCCTCGGCGCAGTCCTGGGGTCCTGGTCCCAGCACCATGGCCCCTCCTTCCCCAGAGGCCACAGTGCAGTCTCGGGGTCCCGGGGTCCCGGTCCCAGGGCTGCAGCCCCATCTTCTGCAGAGGTGACGGGAGAGGGGGATGCGCAATCCCAGAGCCTCTGCAGAGGCTGGACAGGGTGTGACCACAGTGCCTCAACCTCCCACAGCCCCTCTCCCAGCCTGCCTGGCCCCAGATCGCCCCCCGCACCAGTAGGTCGGGGGCAGGGCCAGTGCTAAGAAGCAGTGAGCCAGTCTTCTGGTTGAGCCACACTCTCCCCCTCCCCCTGCCCCTGCTCAGCCAGAAGCCAGGCTCATGGCTGGTGAGCACAGCAGAGGTGGTGTGAGCCTCTCCTGCCTCCACAGCAGGCAGGCAGTAAGGAGCAAGGGGTCCTGGACTGTGAGAGCCCCAACTGCGAGAGCGATGTCTGAGTTCCAGCTTAAGCCCGATCCCCGGTGAGTCCTGGACTGTGAGAGGGCACAGGCCAGGCTGAGCCCCCCCCCTCCCCCAGTGCACAAATTTCATGCACTGGGCCTCTAGTCTATAATAAAAGGGTAATATGCTAATTAGACCGGACGTCTTACAGACGTCCTTCCCGACAAAGCTGGGGCTGGAGGAAAGCCAGCCCAGGTCCTGGGGACCTGCCAGCGGCCAGAGGAGAGAAGCAGCCTGGGTCCCGGGTGCTGGAAGGAAGCTGGTGCCGGCAGCCAGGGGAAGGAAGGCCTACTCTTGCACGAATTTTTGTGCATCGGGCTTCCAGTATAAGAAACTATATATTATATTATGTCTAGTCAAAATATATTATATATTAGTATATATATTATAATTAATATATAACTATATATTAGAATTAAATGTTATAATTACATAGTATATAATATACAGTTACTATATAAAAATTAATATCTATAAGTTCAAGAGAAATTCAAATTTTCTTTGAAAGTATATATAAGCTTTTAAGCAATGTTGATATAAAGTAATTTCAAGAGAATTTTAAGTCCAAGGGAAATAATTCCAAGGGAATTTTAAATTGTCACTGAAAGTATATATTAAGCTTTTAAATAATTTTGATATAAAATCCTTTGCATGGCCACCATTATGTATCAACACTCTTGCCTTCGTGTACTCAATTCCTTAATAATCACTTTTCATTTTCTGTCTAATTCCAGGTATATCAATGCCAATCCCAGTCTTTGGGCTACAGGATGATTCCAAGGTCTTTAAGGAAGGGAGTTGCTTACTCGCAGACGATAACTTTGTCTTGATCGGCTCCTTCGTGTCATTTTTCATCCCCTTAACCATCATGGTGATCACCTACTTTCTAACTATCAAGTCACTCCAGAAAGAAGCTACTTTGTGTGTTGGTGATCTTGGCACACGGGCCAAATTAGCTTCTTTCAGCTTTCTTCCTCAGAGTTCCCTGTCTTCAGAAAAGCTCTTCCAGCGGTCCATCCACAGGGAGCCAGGGGCCTATGGCAAGAGGACTATGCAGTCCATCAGCAATGAGCAAAAAGCTTGCAAGGTGCTGGGTATCGTCTTCTTTCTGTTTGTGGTCATGTGGTGCCCCTTTTTCATCACGAACATAATGGCCGTCATCTGCAAAGAGTCCTGTAGCGAGGACGTCCTCGGAGCCCTGCTCAATGTGTTCGTTTGGATCGGTTACCTCTCCTCGGCAGTGAACCCATTGGTGTACACCCTGTTCAACAAGACTTACAGGTCGGCCTTTTCACGGTATATTCAGTGTCAGTACAAGGAAGATAAAAAACCATTGCAGTTAATTTTAGTGAACACTATCCCAGCCTTAGCCTACAAATCTAGTCAACTCCAAAAGGGACAGAAAAAGAAAGATGCCAAAGTGACAGGTAATGACTGCACTATGATTCCTCTAGGAAAACAAAATTCAGAATATGCTCCTACAGGCAATATCAACCCAGTGAATGAAAAGGTTAGCTGTGTGTGATAGACTAGTTGCCATGGCAACCACGGAGCACACACTGAACAAGTTTTCACCTATCTGGAAAAAAAAGAAAAGAAAAGATAATAGAGAGACTGGAAAAAATTAGGCGGGTTTAGTAAAACCAACAATAATATCTAGATGCCTCATTTTATTCCATCAGTTAAAAGCAGGGTTAAATGCCACAAAATGTGCACTTCAAAAATGTTCTGACAGCCTTTCAAGCTGTAGTTTTATGATACTTATTTTTAACATTGTAAATGATATGTCTTTAAAATAATTAGCTTTTATTGTATAATTATAATGAGGCTACAAATAAATCTAAATTAACTTTATTTTCAAGTGGAAACCTTGCTACTATGTTGTTAATTGATGGCAGATGTTGGTTACCTACCGCTGTGAATAAAAATAGCTATAGATAGTGAAAAGTTGATTGAATATAATGGTCTCTTACAGAACAATTCTCTTTAAAACTTACCATGATACATATTTGTAACAACAACAAAAATAAGGCATTAAGAACAGTGTTATGAAGTCGATATTGCTAAGATAATTAAATGAAATACTTGACAACTTTTTCATAGATGCCACTTTGAAATATTCACAAAGTTGCTGTCATCTGCTGAATTTCAGGTTAATTCTTCTCAGAAATGAAAAAGATTTTACTAGTAAAAGTTATTTCATAACTATTGCTGCTTTCTCTTCTACTACCTGTGCTTTACTCTAAATTTAAAATGTGGTCTTGTTTAGTGTTTGTTCTACTATCCATCCTATCAAAAGGATAATTTAACATTACCAAATACATTTCTAAAAATTGCTTCTCCTAAATGGCATCATAGAGGCGTTTGGTAACTTGCTTCTTATGACTGCATCATGCATGCTCTCTTAGAGCACTAAGTAGTGTTGATGTAACTGTGTCAGGACTGAGGAATAGACTCAGGTTTTTGGCTACTGACAGCAACAGTCTTAGATTTCTCTGTAAAATGCAGATGTCTTTCCTATGGGTACCCATCAATCAGGTAAACTGATGCTTTCAGGGCAATCAATCTATATTATTTTCTGTTCAGCTTTGGTTTCACAATCATCTACCAAGTGTATACTATCTATGAGGAAATGTCCTAAATACTAAGGATATAAAAATAATTAAAATAAGATTTTTGCCTTTATTTTTTAAAATCTTTATTGTTGAAAGTATTACATATGTCCCCCTATATCCCCCATTGACCCCTTCTAGCTTGCTCCCACCCCCAACCCCCACTCCCACTCCAGGCCTTCACCTCTCTTTTGTCTGTGTCCATGGGTTATGCATATATGCACATAAGTTCTTTGGTTGATCTCTTCCCACCCACCCACCCTTCCCTGCCTTCCCTCTGAGATTCCTCAGTCTGTTACATGCTTCTGTCTCTGGATCTATTTCGCTCATCAGTTTATTTTGTTCCCTCCTCTTCCACATATGAGTGAGATCATGTGATACTT